GGATTGCGATGCTACCTGCCAGGGTCATGGGAGTATTAAGTGTAGTGTAGCTCCTGCACATTGGGGCACTTCATTCGTGCCGGCGATTATGAGCATTCTCCCCTAACTGCATGGGGCTTGCCGCTGGAACCTCCAGATATCCTATTCACCCCCTTCTCACCTCCACCCTCCTCCGGATTCCCTCACTGGCTGGTGACTTCCCTGGGGCCTGAGATTCTAGCCTGGCAATGCTGAAGACCACGGATTTTGGAATCAGATCCACCTACCTTCCAACCTGGGACTCACTACCCTCTGACCTTGGATTAAATATATTTCATACCATAGTTGAAAAATGGGGATAAAGATACCTACTTGATAGGTTTACTGGTGCAAGGATTAAATGAGATAATGCATATACGCCTTAGCACAATAACAGGGTCAGAGAAGAAGTTTAGCAAATAACAGAATAACAATAAGGACTGATATTTGCTATTTATTTATTAGTCCCAGGGGGCCGCCCACTTGCTCTGAGGCCTGGTATATGGTTGGCATATTTTCCTAGTTCCTACCACTGATGCCAGCCTCTCCTGTTTTTTTTTTTTTTTTCTGTTGGATAAGCGTTCCTTCAGACTCTTCTGTTTTTAATTTCATCGGTCACTTCGAGAGAATGTTGGAAGGACGTTCATAAACTGGGTCCTTGCTGTCATCTTGCCCAGAGCTTCCCTTTACGTGTTTGGGCTGGTTTCTGTTGATATGAAGAAATACATTCATTTCCAAACACCTATTTTAAATCCAGCCAGTTTATGGAGTAATTCAAGTAGTTCTTCTAGTCCTACTGGATTTTCTAAGAAAGCAACAGAATCTTCTACAATCTCCTTCACAATACCTCTTCTTTTGATTTGTTCTTTATTTCACTGATAGACCATGGATAATTAATTAGCTTTGATAGTGGTATCTTCACCTCGTTCCTGGTTTAATAAAAAACACATCTCTCCTTTCTCCTGCACGTATGTATGAACCGTTGCTTTAGGATACAACTAGTTATCTTGCTAAGAAAATGTCCCTTTATTTCCTTTATTACTCCTCTTAGAGTTTGTTGTTATTAAGTCAGGGATGGCTGTTTAATTTCATCCAATAATAGTTTCTCTATTTACTAAAACAATAAGGCCATTTTGATCTTTGTTTCTTTGACTTTGTAACAGACACGATGGTTAGAGATTTTTCCAGAACTCCCCTCAGAATGAATAGCTAGCCAACAATTTATTTTACATTCAAAGTAGTGGCAAAAGGATGGATCATGCTATAAAGAGCATTACGGTACTTAGATGTCCGTTTGGGAAAAAATTTTAAGTGTGACTTTTCCCTCACAACTACAGAAGAATTCTAGATGGATTAGAGATTAGACTTTTAGAAAGCTTAAAACGATTTGAAGAAAATATTGGAAAACATTTTTACAATCTTGATGTGAGGAATCATAAGTAAGTTGTAAACCCTGCAAGCCATAAAAGAAAATATTGAGAGATTTGGCTAGCTAATATTTAAAACTTCTGAATAATGAAAGATGCCACAAAGAAAGTTAAAGACAATGGAAGACTGGGAGAAAACATTGCCAACATATATGACAGCATTAGATTAATAATCAGAATATGTAAAGGAAAGGGGGAAAAAATAGAAAAAAAGTTATTGAGTAGGCAAATAAAGCTGTCTCACTCATAATAAATAACAAGGAAATAAAAACAACAACAAGGTAACATTTCCATCATCAAATTACCAAAATTTTAAAAGATAAATATCCACTGTTGGAGAACGTACAGGTCCCTCCACTCCGGAAGTATTAATAGTTTGTGTAAATGGCGCCCCCTACAGCACAATTCCAACATTGATTCCCATGTAGTTGAGTGCACCTTAGAACCGCCCTCTCAGCGTCCTGCCCCTCCTGTGGGCTTAGGGAGAGTCTGGGGGACAGCTTTTGGCCTATCTGGCAAAATGTAAAAGACCCTCAGATCAATGATTCCTCTTCCAGGAATCTAGCCTTTCAGAAATACACCAATGTGCAATATGTACATAAAGATACATGCAAAAAATGTTCCTTAAAGCATGCTTTATGGAGGAAAAAGGAAGCAACCTACATGTCCATTGATAGGGAATTGTATGGATAAATAATGGTGCATCCACTCATGGGATATTTTGTGACCCTTAAAAGGAATGAAGTAGATTTATTTGTACTCACAGAGAATGATCTTCAAGATTTGATGTTATGCCTGAGATACACATGAATGAAAGCAAATCCAAAAAATATCTACTATTATTTTTATTTTCTTGAGACAGAGTCTCTGTTGCCTGGGCTAGAGTGCCGTGGTGTCAGCCTAGCTCAAAGCAACCTGAAACTCCTGGGCTCAAGCGATCGATCCTCCTGCCTCAGCCTCCCAAGTAGCTGGGACAACAGGTGCGTGCCACCATGCCCGGCTAATTTTTTCTATTTTTAATAGAGACGGGATCTTACTCTTGCTCAGGCTGATCTCGAACTCCTGAGCTTAAGCGATCCTCCCGCCTTGGCCTCCTACAGTGCTAGGATTGCAAGCATGAGCACCACACCTGGCCCCAATATCTATTATTTGATCTCATGTATATATGTTTGAATATATATTAGATAGATAGAGAGTGCATAGACAAGGAACAAGCCGAGGGGACTGGATGGAATTGTTTGGCAGAGGGAATTAGTGACAGAAAGGAGTTCCATGTTTTACTCTCTGTACTTAATTACTTTGTGCTCTACCACAACAAGAAAGTATTGTATACATATTTTTCTTTTCATCTTAAATTCAAAATGTTCTGTAGCCCAGTGGCTCTGAGCTACAAGAATCCTTGTGAGTTTGGCTGTACTTTGACAACTTCCCACCTGGCTAAACTACCTAGGAATGTCCTAGCACCCAGTGTGAGAAATTTTTGGCATTCCTGGAAGAAATCCTTCTCCTGAGCCAATTCATCTGGGCATCGTAATCCCTAGAAGGGGCTTTTAAAAGATTTAGATCTGAGTCTCTGTCTCAGATCCACTGACTCAATCAGAAGTTCTGTGCCTAAGGTTATGATCTTGCTTTGGAGGAGGAAGTGAGAAGTGAGCATTACTGGCTAGTGTGACAATTGCACACCGTATTGGACAATTGCACAGCCACAGCCGGGAACAAAGAAGGCAGAGAGGCAGGCTTGATCTGCAAGGGCTCCAGGTATCCCTAATGGGGACTTTTGATGGAAGAAGACATTCTCCCAGGCTTGGTGACAGCCAGGAAAGGCACTCAGGCTCTGCAGCAGGTAAGTTCAAGCTGCAGTTTTTGTTTGGTATTTTCACTAAAACAGCTTTTTTTTCTTACACTTGTTGGATGGGTGTATCCCGTGGGTGAAGTTTCCACTACTACGTTCTAAACTGGGGGGAAGTGGGAGATGATGTGAAATTTACTAAAAAACTCACCTAGCTCTTAGAATGGAGAAACCCACCCGGCTTGCTTAGAGTGGAGAAAGATACCCAGGCTTTCAGGGACCTGGTGTACATTATCATCTAAGGACTAGGCTGCAGAGGCAGCAGAACTAGGTTCGAATCCTGATGCCATATGATGGCAGCTGTGTGACTACCAGCAAGGTTCTTAACCTCTCTGAAACTCAATTTCTTTTTCTTTTATTTTTGAGACAGAGTCTCACTGTGTTGCCCGGGCTAGAGTG